AAAAATAGTCCACACGCCTAGCACCTTAACCTTTATCGTCAACCTCTTATTTTTCATGTTATCTTCTTCAATCCATTGAATTAGCACATAGATAAGCTTAACAACAGCAGCCACAACATAATCGAACTATTTATAACACTTTCCAGCCACAACAAACCATATATATAGCCTCAGCACAGTCCACAAAAAAAAAAGATAACGATTCCTTATGCCATGTCAATTACTATCTTGTAGATTTTCACTCAAACAACTCAACCAACACATGATTAACCTTAAGCACAATGAAGAACATGATTTACTCACCTTAGGCAGTAGATACAATGTGAAATCCCCAGCTGGTGTAGCTCATAACAACTCTCAATCACACCACAATACTATAGGAGTTGTATTCTCTTCTTGAATCAACTTTTGAGTTCAAGTTGGTGTGTAAACACTTGTATTTCGCCTTAAAACTCTAATATATATGAAAGAGGGACTGATTCCTAGCTTAATCATAAAGAACAAAACGAAAACTGAGGTTACTTACCTTTGAAGAACCCTCCAAAACAGCCACAAGATGAAGAACTACGATCTAGCAAGCACCACGGGATTTCTAGCATTGGATTCATGTTTTTATCTTAGGTTTTCACCCAAGAATTATGGAGGAACCCTTGGAGAGCATTTAGGAGGGTTTAGGAGCTGTTTTGGACGAGAAAAATGAGTTAAAAGTACATATAATTGACTTAAAAACAAGCTGAAGTTTTACACTGACTTTATGGGTCCCATGCGAGCTGCTTGCACGGTCTCGCAAAAATGCGAATATCTCTCTACTACGATGTCGTATCGACGAACAATTAAATGCGCTAGAAACTGTACTCGTAGATCTTCAATTTAGTTGGTAGACAACCCCGTACTTTGAAGTATATTTGGATAAAAGCTCAGCTTAATTTGACCTAATTTTTAGCACATTTATGAATGTAACCTGTGATGACCTTTCCCAGCTTTTGTTCTACAACTCACTTGACTTCAAAACCTAACACACGTAGCACCCTAGCCTCACCCCAAAGTACATGTTATAACATTCCAACTTGTCGACTTTCGACGAAACTTATTTTCTTCAATTCGTTCCGCTTCTAAGTCTTTCAACCCTCTTGGTACATGGTATTCATGATCTTAAATATTTATAACTTCCACGGTAACATGATTAACTTCATAAGCTTTTCAAAGATTATTTTATTTCTGAGTTTACATCAATTGACTTACGACATATTCTTACGTATGAAAATATGGGGTGTAACAGTTCTTCAAAGCTAGCGACTATTACAGAGCTATGGCGGATAAATGCAGACTCACATGAGTGGGTAAATTCTCCTCTGGAAGACCTAAATTAGAGAAAATTCGTCTGATTTCCAAGCTCAATTCCTAGTTAGGGGTCAGGTAAAAATAGGGCTTTCTGACTATAGATATGTATTTATTGATTTTACTTGCAATGAAGATTGCACCACGTATATTTTAAGAGGATGATGAATAAGGTGTGGTGCCGTAGAAGCGTGTATTTGACCGCAGGTGTGGTTTTGCTGGACAGAAAACCCCAGCTCGAGGTTTGTTCTTCATTTTTCGATTTTGGGCTTGAGGAATTCGGGAGAGAGGCGATTTTTCAAGGGATTTGAAGGAGCAACAGAGAGAAATTAGCACTTGAAGGGGGCATGTTCTCTCTCGGTGCATGTTAAGCAGAATTTGATAACGTGCACGGGCAGCATGACAATTTCGGCCACCACCGCTATAACGCCATCGGCGAGCTCAGTCACACCAGTCATAACTATACCAGGCATGCAAAGCCACTAACATTTGGAAGCTTTCTTCCAATTCTGTTTCAAACTATCAGAGAAGACCCAGATGAAGATGTATCTAATGTCCAACAGAACTTAGCTGTGAAACGAGCGGCGAGAAGAACAAGTGAAGAGATTCCACGCCGGCTACAATTTTCTGACCTAGCTAAAACTACAACACATTCTTCATCCATGACTCAGGAACCTGTACCAATAGAACAGGAACCAATGGAACAGGAACCAATTGAACAAGGAAACAGAATAGGTGAGGAGAAGCCATACAAGAGGAATCGTAGCTCTCAAATGGGGAAAGCTCTCACATATATCCCACCAGATCTGCAGGGTGATACAATTGTAGTAACAATTGAAGAGGAAGACATAAAGGAACATCAAAATTATTGGAATAATGCACTCATTGGGTACGTATTGGGTGAAAATCCATATTTCAAATCTGTGGAGAACTATGTTGAAAATGTGTGGGACTTTGTTAATACTCCAAAGATATTATACCATGATGATGGCTATTACATATTTAGATTTGATTCACTTGAAGATAGAGACAAAGTTATGCAATTAGGGACTTACACTTTTCATAACAAACTATTTATTTTGAAGGATTGGTCACTTGATTTTGTCTTTGATCCAGATTGTTTGAATGTGATTCCACTGTGGGTAAGATTTCCAAATCTACCAGTGGGATTTTGGTCAGCTGAGGCCCTAAGCAAATTGGCAAGTGAAATAGGAAAGCCAATGTACACAGACTTATACACTGCTGAGATGGATAGAATTTCATTTGCTAGAGTCCTTGTAGAAGCAGACATTTCTCATCCTTTGCCAAATGATATTTTACTTCGAACTCCTGTAGGAGTGATTCATCAAAGCATAGAGTATGACTGAAAGCCTAAATTTTGTATGGATTGTGAAAAAGTTGGGCATACCACAGAAGACTGCAGACAGAACTAGGAAATAGGAAAAAATGGACCATTTGTAGAATAGAACAAAAGAAGGAGAAGGGGCAAAAGAAGAAGGAAAGTGGAAACTAAATGGGTAGCAAAAGAGATGACTGCTCCAACAGCTGAAAAAGATGATGCTACAAAGGAGATTGAAACTAAAGAAAATGCAGTAGGCTCACAAATGGAAGATAGGCAGCTGGACATGAATGAATTTCCAGCACTCTCAGAAGTAATAAAGAATGAGAGAAGATATGAAAAGAGAGTGGTTATGTCTACTGTGGAAGAACCAAGTTGTTCTACTAGCCAAATTAATACCACAAATCGATTTGAGATTCTGAATCAAGGTGGTATTGCAGCTGATACTGGGCAGGGTGGACAAATCCACCCTACACCTTCATGATAATCAGTACTTGGAACATTAGAGGACTGAACAAGCCCTTTAAACAGAAGGAGTTGGTGCTCTTTCTGAATAAGTACAAGGTAGAGGTAATGGGGCTAGTTGAGACAAGGGTGAAAGAGAATAAGGCAAAAAGAATAGCCCAGAAGACTGCAAAGGACTGGAAAGTACAGTATAACTATAATTGTGCATATAATGGGAGAATTTGGTTAATGTGGAAGCCTCATATCCACATTCAGATTGATGCACAGTTTGGCCATTGTGAAGTGGAAGAACAAATCAGTCAGAAGAAATGGCTATTCACTGTTGTATATGCTTATAATGACTTGAACTCAAGGCAGCAGTTATGGGAGAAGCTTATTGGTATAGGTTCTAATATTAAAAGTGAATGGCTAATTAGTGGTGATTTTAATAATATCTTACAACCAGATGATAGAATAGGAGCTCCTATAACATTGGCAGAGGTACAAGGATTTAAGGAGTTCTTAGACAAAATTCAACTCACTCCCTTGAAAAGTACAGGATGGTATTATACATGGTGTAATAAAAGGGATGAAAATATGAGGGTGTACAACAAGATAGATTGGGCTTTTGGGAATTTCAGCTGGATGATGAACAATGGGCATATAGAGGCAGAATATCTGAACCCTGGGGTGTCTGATCATTCTCCTATATTGATGAACTGCCAAACTGGTATAATTCAACAACATTTGCATCCTAGACCTTTTAGACTGTATCACACTGTACTTCACCATCCTGAATTTACAAGGATAGTGAAAGAATTATGGGTGCAGAATGATAGAGATTTTGGGAAGGCAAGGACATGGTATAAACTCAGGAAACTGAAGGAGGCATGAAAGGCTTGAACAACTATATGGCATCTTATCAGCAAAAACTGAGTCAAGCAAAGCAGAAGTTAGAACTGGTTCAACATCAACTGTCTCTACAACCTTTAAGGCAGGAGTGCATAGAAGAAGAAAAGGTAGCCTTCCTAGAAGTGGAGAAATGGAGTAACATTGAGGAGCAGGTGATGAGGCAGAAGTCTAGAGCTACTTAGATTCAACATGGAGATGCAAATACCAAGTACTTCCATGCTCAATGGAAGATGCGTACTAATAATAATGCTATTGTCTCTATTCATAGTGATGCAGGTATCAAATTAACAGATCCTAAACAGGTGGAGGAGCAATTTTTGGATTTCTTTAAGAAACTAATGGGTGAGGCATCACCAGTGCACCCTTGCCCAGATGCTGAGGTGATTAAAAAGGGACCTTGTCTAACAACACAACATCAACTGGAGCTGATCAAGTCAGTCATTGAGGAAGAGATAATGGGAGCTATTAAAAGCATGCCAACTGACAAGGCTCCAGGGGTAGATGGTTTTCCAGTAGAATTCTACACAAAGCAATGGGAGGTGATCAAAGCAGATGTGATTGCTGATGTCTTGGATTTCTTTAAGACAGGGAAGCTGCCAAAGGCCATTAATAGCACTGCTATTACTCTCATCCCTAAAGTTCCTAATCCTACACAGGTTAAGGACTTTAGGCCAATAGCATGCTGCATAACTATTTACAAGATTATCACAAAGATCATCACTGGGAGATTAAAAGCAGTAATGAACTATCTAGTAGGTGACTCTCAATCAGCTTTCATTGAAGGCAAGAATATAACTGATAACATCCTATTCACCCATGAACTATTCAAAGGCTACACTAGGAAAGGTATATCTGCAAGATGCATTCTCAAGGTTGATCTTAGAAAGCCTATGATACATTGGATTGGTTCTACTTGAAAAGGATAATGATTGGATCGGGGTTTCCACACAGATTTGTATGTTGGATAATGGAGTGCATAACAACTGTATCCTACTCTTTGACCTTAAATGGAGGACTCACAAAACCATTTGAAGGCAAGAGGGGGATAAGACAGGGAGACCCTGTGTCACCCTACTTATTTGTGATAGCTATGGAGTACTTGCAAAGGGAATTTAGTCAACTGGCTGAAAACAAAGAGTTCCACTTTCATCCAAGGTGCAAAAGACTAGGAGTGATGTATGTGTGTTTTGCTGATGATCTATTGATGTTCTGCAGAGCTGATTTGCAGTCAATTAAGCTACTGCAGGATGCATTTCTGAAATTTTCAAGAGCCTCAGGACTACAGGCAAATCCTGACAAAAGCTCAGTATACATTGCAGGTACAACTGAGAGGATGAAAGAACTTATCTTGCAGGAGTTGGGTTATAATGAAGGCAGCTTACCCTTTAAATACCTAGGGGTTCCATTAGCTCCTAAAAAGCTATCTAATCAACAGTGTTGGCCATTGGTTGAAAAGATTACTGCAAGGATCAGTTGCTGGACCTCAAAACTATTGTCATTTGCTGGAAGATTGCAGCTCATCAAGTCAGTGATTTTTGGGATGCAGTCTTATTGGGCTCAGGTATTTTTACTACCAAAGAAGATCAGCAAAATGATAGAGGCGAATATGCAGAACCTTCCTATGGACAGGGCAGGCTGATATATCCAGAAGAGCTTTGGTAGCATGGGACAAGGTCTGTTTACCACAAACAATGGGAGGGTTGAATGTGATTAACCTGTGCAACTGGAACAGAGCTGCAATAATGAAGCATTTGTGGGCAATTACAAAGAAGAAAGACTGCTTGTGGATTCGATGGGTCCATTCCTACTACATAAAGAACAGGAGAATTGACACCATGCCTATACCTAAGAGTGCAACTTGGGTAGTAAGGAAGATTATTGAGCAAAGGAAGTTTATATTGAATCTACCAACTCTACAAGGCAATGTGCAAGAAAGACTGGAGTCCTTACAGATCACAAGTGGTAAATTCAGTATCAAGAATCTATATAACTTGCAAACTCCTCAGGATCAGAAGGTATACAGGAAAAGTCTGATTTTACATCCTCATATACATCCTAGACACAAATTCAATATGTGGCTGGCCATTCAAAGGAGATTACCAACAGTGGATCGATTGCAGAAAATAGGCATTCAAGTAGCTCAAGTGTGTGTATTCTGTGGTCAGGAAGAAGAGATATTTGAACATCTATTCTTTGAATGCTCCTACACAAGTGCTGTCTGGAAGAGATTGCTAAACTGGATGAGAATCCAAAGACAGATTCAAACTTGGGAGGAGGAACTGCAATGGGTGACTTATCATGCTAGGAAGAAGAAAGGAATTGGCAACATTATTGTAGCAGTGTTTGGCATGCTGCTGCACAGTTTATGGAGGGACAGGAATTCGATCAGATTTCAAAATGGAAGCACCTCAGCAGAGCAGATATGCCGAGAGAGATCACTTCATATGTTCATATCAAAAGCCATATACACAGCAATTGGCAGGAACATATGGAAGCTCTAAACAGATATCCATAGTTAGGCTACTAGAGTAATCCTGTATTCATGTTTTATTTCAGTATCATATTAGTTAGCACATGTATAGGATATGAACACATATAGCCAACTAGTATAGTTATATAGGGAGACATCTCTGAAATGTTGGAGTCAAGTATAGTCTATAAAGAGAAAAGGAACTGGTCAGCAGGTCCTACTGTGTACAGAACAATTTTGATAAATGAAAATGTTAGTTTATAAAAAAAAAAAAGAAGAGGATGATGAATATTGGAGGATTTCTGATGAGAATCTTCAGATGGACACTGGACTTCAGGACCGATGAAGAAAGTCCTTTAGCACCAATCTGGGCACTTTTGCCCCAATTTCCGTGGCATATGCATGAATGCTGGTATGTTAATCAAGTTCTAAGCATAGTGGGCAACCCCCTACAAATTGATCAAGCCACCACTAATCGAACTAGGCCTCACTTGGCCAAAGTTAGAATCGAAGTCTACTTAAGAAGATCACTGCCAACCTCTATCTGGGTAGGTACTTTGGATGATGAAGGTAACCCCTTAGGTGGATATGACCAAGCTGTGGAGTATGAAGGAATTCCGGAATATTGTTTACAATGCAAACATCAATGGCATTCCATCCATGATTGTGTATATAGTGAGAAGAACAAGGGTAAAGGAAAAGAAAAACTCAAGAACCAGCCAAGGATCATGAAGGACATAACTATAACTAAAAAGCCAAGCCTGTAGCTAAAAACAACACCGGAGAGGAATGAGGTAATAGAAAACAGAATATCAACCAGAAAGCTCTTAAGTAAGAGGTGACTAAGGATAACAATATAATTGCTCCTAAAGTTGCTACTGTTGGCACTAATGATGCTATTGTTATCCGTGATTCTACTAGTGCTTCTACAAATGATATTAACAATGCAACTATGAAAGTTAGTAACACTACTAAAGCTAATGATAATGTGGTTGCTCACAAAGATGATACAGCTACCTCTAGAGATGCTCAAATGAATGTCTTTGATACTCCCATTGTCAATATTGGCAAAAATACTACTAACGGTGGTAGGCCGAGTTCTGCTAGCCCTGATGTTTCCACAAAAGATATTACAAAGCAGGAAAAAGAAACATGATGGAAAGTCAATTGGCTACTAATAATGCAATGGAAAAAAAATTAATGCTAAGATCTCCTAGCAATCTCTAAGTGTTAGAAAGAATCCAGCTTGAGCAAGAAGAACCCAAATTTGAGGAAGTTCCTCCAGGAAGACGTATATGTAGGAGAATAATTCCAGGAGAAAAGACGAAAGGAGGAACTATCACTATTAATCTGGGTAATGCTTTTGAATCCTTGGCAGCTTCTGGTGAAGATGTGGATGACCCTGGGGATAGTTCCCTGAAATGAGGAAGAGGCATACACAGACTAAGAAGATAACAAAAAAGATGAAGATGAGCAATCTAGTTATACCAAGTCAGATGATGAGACTGCTAGAAGATCCAATTATGATATCTCTTTCATATTAGAATACTAGTAACAACATGTCTATGGCTGGAATCTTATCTCCTAGAGGATAAAAAAATCCATGAACTATCAGCACTCATGAAAGATAATTTTTCTCCAAGGTAAACTAGGGCACAAAGGCTCAACAAAAACCTCCCTCCGACTGTTTCTAGTGAATAGTTTACTGTCATGGAACATTAGAAGTGTGAGAACTATGTGAGCCTTTGAAAGCCTAAAATCGTTGAAATCTATATATATAACATCTCTTTTATAGCTTTCCAAGAACCTGTTTTGCAAGAACCACCTACGGTAAATATGGTGGACAATTATATGAGACTATTAGGGATGGATAAATGTTTTGGTATTGACAACAACAAAATATGGATTTTTTGGGATAATTGTTATGATATCTGCATTATTTCACACATTGAACAACATGTTACGGTCTCCATAAAAGGAATGCTAGGAGCTGATTTGATTGTCCTAACAATAATTTATGCTAAGTGTTCCAACCAATTGAGGGAAGAATTATGGGAAGCTATTGTTTCACAATTCAGAAGTGTCTTTTGTCCTTGGGGTGTTATTGGAGACTTCAACGTGATCACTTGTCCGGAGGAGAAGAAAGGTGGAAAACCTTTCAACATCTCCAATTGCACTGATTTTTTAAATTGTATAGAAGATGCTGGTCTTCAAGATGCAGGTTTTTATGGTTCTCCATTCACATGGTGTGACAATAGGGGAGAACCGAGAACCATTTGGAAAAGGCTAGATAGACTTCTAATTAACTCTAAATGGCTCTTTTTTTATATGTCCACTGTCAATCGCCTAGCGAAGACTGGTCTGATCGCAATCCTCTACTAGTCAACCTAAATAAAGGTGTTGATAATCCAGTAAAGTTCTTCAGGTTCCTCAATTTATGGGTTGAACACAGAGACTTATTTAACGTGGTATCAAATTCTTGGAAAGAAAGCATTACGGGAAATCTAATGTGGATTCTCCACCAGAAACATAAAAGAACTTGCAAGAATCTGAGTATTTGGTCCAGATCCACCTTTGGTGACATTTTTGAAGAAGTCAAGAAGCTGGAAACCAAGGTGGCTGAATTGGAGCATTTTCTTATTCAAGATAACTCTGTTGAGAATAGGGCCATGTTGAATCATGCAAATGCAGTCTATACCCGAACGCTTAAGAGAGAAGAAGCATTTCTCATACAAAAGTCCAGAATTAAATGGCTAGAAGAAGGTGACTCCAGTTCCTCTTATTTTCATAGCATTGACGAGCGCAAAACACACACCAAAATATGCTCGCTAGTCAAATATAGTAAATATAATATCGTATACATAGGGATTGGAGTTAAATAGTTATTATCGTAGTTTATAGCTAGATTTCTATCCAAGATGATCAACGGTTTAGATTTATGTGATTTAAAACTAAAATTAACTAAGAGTCTAAACTATTGGCTAGTGACAATCTACGCAAGTAATGAGTAAGGAAAGATATCAATGGGAGAAAATATGATTGATAGGATAGGTGCAAGACAAATGTTGGGACCAAGCTCTAGATAATTTACTTCTAATGTTAAGTGAGTCTCTCGAATTCACTCAATATTCACACATTCAGTAGAAACTCTTCTCTTGATTAAGTTCAGCATCACAATATGAACTGAATTAAGCTCGGTAAAGATATGCAAGAATTCATAATGGAGTGGTCCTTAGGAAAACCTCTTTTGATTAGTCTCCTAACTAGGTTAATCAACAATTCAACTAGTCTCTTTCGATTACCAAGAAGAATTAATGAATTTACCCAACAAAATATAACACAAAAATATCACAAGTTATGCCTCTCTCGATTACATGAACTAGTGAATATAGATGCAACAATTTAAATATCCAAAACGAGCATAAACTAGAGTTATAATCCACAAACAAATGTCAAAACACCAAATCCATCAAACCCTAAAGAGAACTACTCCATAGACATGGAGTAATTCATCACAATTAAGTTTAAAGTAAAGAAAAACATAAAAAAAATCCAAATCCTTGTCTTGAGTTGGGATTGAATGATGGATTCCTTGTGCTCTTGCTTCTTCAACTTCTCCTTAGCCTCCCTAGGTCTTAGATGTGTCAAAAGTCCCAAAAATACCGTTTTTCCATGTATGTATACCAAGTAGGGTCGGGTCCAAGCAAAAACACCTTTTCCTACGCGAAATAGGACACTTTTCGGAGTTGGACGTGTGCGGAGCACACCTTGGAGTGTGCTCGCGCATATGGACGCGCATTTTTCACTCTGTTCTGCCTCACATGTGCGCCCAATACGTGCTCGCGCACTCTGTTCCGCCTTACCCTTTGGGCTTTTACTCAGACTTCAAAGCTCCATAATAGATTGAATTCATTACATAACATCTACATATATCGGAATCACTTCTACACGGCATAAAACACATAATTAGTGTAAAACATTAGCGATTAAAGCTCAAACTCAACTGAAGTGCAGCAAATTAGGGTGCAATAAGCGACTAAAACACAATATTATAGCCTACCATCAGCACCCCACACTTAAACTATTGCTCGTCCTCGAGCAATCAAACTACACTTTATAAAGGCACGACCTTATTAAACAACTCTCCAAACTTATCGCACAAAGAGTATTTAAAATAGATTAAGCACAATAGTGTAACATCTTCACCTCAGGAATTGATTTACAAGTACCACGCATTATTTACAACTCGCTCACTTACTCTAACACAGAGGTCAACGACATTACATTTTCTTTATGAATCATGTGCCCTCATACAACAATAGAGAGTAGTTCCACACTCAATAAAATTAAGAACTATTAGGAACTCAAGATAGGAAGAATTCACTCATTCTCAGAACAACATTCATGTGCTACAAAAGATGAACCATAAAGTTGCCCGTAGTGTACTACTCTACTAATCGAGCTCATTCAGTCAAGGATCAAGTAGGACTTTAATTGGTTGTAATGTAAGCTGCGGGACGGGTAGGATACATTTAGATATAAGAGTGACTACACCACCCGAAGTACTTTAATACATATACTTTAACAGTCAAAACCCCACACTTATGTCAAACCAAAACTCCCCCTTCACATCAATATACATCAACTCCCAAATTATTTAAGCACAATTACATCAAGAGTTACCACTTATCAATGAATACTTTTCACAACAATACAGCTATTTTTTCTTTCTTTTTCAGTTCAAGTGGCTCTTACTTTTCAAAATAATGCACCTTCTTCCTTATTTCATTAGTTCCACTCAAAAGCCAAACCAACCACCCCACACTTCAACTTTTACAAAGTTCATAACGATTCAAGTGCTCACGAGAAGTACAAGGTTCAAATAGATGGTCAATTCAAATAAATGGGTAAGGCTTGTAATGTGGTTGCCAAAGAAACATGATTAAAGGCTCAAGAGGGTTAACTAAGATACATAACAATTAGGTGGATAAACACATATATATGGCTCAACAAAGAAATGCCTATATCACT